TTCATGGAGCCTCTGAAGAGTCCCTCCAGTTCGTATGTGGTGTGATGTTGGCCAAAGACTTCACCTTCCCCTTTGGCCGGACACGAAGGGCTTGCTCAGAAAAAGAAGTTTTGGGCTGGGTGTCTGTGTTTGTTCCCCAGCACAGTACAGCAACTGCTGTCTGGTGGCTGCTCTGTCTTTGTGCGGGGACAGAGCTGGTGCAGAGCTGGCTTCTCGTCTCAGCGTTGCAGGGAGGATATTCAGAGAGTGATACCAAACTGTGGAGGACTCAGGCTTTTTGTGGGGAGGGGTGTTTGGAAACTTCAGTTTCAGTCCCCCATTTCCTAATCCTTTTTCTAGCACAGACTTAGCCGAGGATCACCGCCCCTCCGAAAGAAAAACCGGAGGGAGGGAGAACCTGATGGTCAGAAATCCCAGCTGGTGTGGATTTTTTCCTCACTGCTTTGATTTTCCCGGGTGGCAGCAGTGCAGAAACCCAGCACAGGGATGCTGTCGGCTTTTCAATCCTGCTCTGGAGACAAAGGCGGTTCCTCCTTCCCTGTGCCTCACCCAGTCTCTCTGCAGGTAGATCTTGCAAGCCAGTGGTGACAAGATCACATCAGTGATACTTTGTTCGTGGCACACGGCCTGCAAGTGGGAGTGTGACATTGCTATACAAAAAAGTGGATTTCTGAATTTTTTTTATGATGGAGTTAAAAACCCCGGCTAGAAACTGTAACGAAGAAGAAAGCATTACTTGCACATTGACTTATATGTTTATACTTTTGTTTTCAGAATCGACAGAAAAAAGGATAAAACAGAAAGAAAGATTTTGGACAGCCAGGAAAGAGCATTCTGGGATGTGCACAGGCCTGTGGTAAAGCTCTTTTTGAATGATGAGACTTTCCAGATTTTGACAGGAAAGTTTTAATACTAGTAAACACTGTGCCAGGTATTGCATAAAGACATTGCCTTTAAAGTCACCACGTGGATTTTCCTTGCAGTTCAAAACACACCAAGTGTCCACAAGATTATTTTAGATATTCTAGGCTTGTGCATGCATGGAACTATTGATTTGGAAATACATGATAAATGTGAAGTTTTGAAGATCATTTATTGTGCATACGAAAGAAAAGCAGCTTACCCAGTTTGGTTCAGACTTCCTAGAAAAAGCTCCCCTCTTAGTAGAGATACTTCCTTTTGATGCCAAAGTTATGAGTAAATGGATTGGATGCTGAGATGCCAACTTTGGGTATATGCAGTCTCTTGTTTAGCAAGGATAATTTATGGGACACAAACTTCAGGAAAGAATTTTGGACAAGATATAATTGTATATTTTAGAAAGGTAAGGTAGCATGTGGGTTGTAAACAGAGGAGTAATGTGATTGCCATCTCTTTTCAGCCTGGCTGTGTGAACACCACAGAAATGGACATTAGAAAGTGTCGTCGTATGAAAAACCCACAGAAAGTGAAAAAGGTCACTTTGAGTTTCTGGTTTTGGTTGTGGGTTGGTTTGTTTGTTTGTTTGTTTTTGTTTTTAATGCAAGTCACACTTGACACCTACAGTATCTCAGACTTTCCCAATAGGAACCAAAAAAAGCGTTTTGCAAATATCACTTCCGTTTTGTTCCAATTGGTGAATTTACTATTCCTGTTTCACCAGCAGAGCAGTACAGACTGGGTGATGGGTAGAGCTGAGAAGGGCATTAAGGACCTCTCTGTCCCAGATGTCTGCTGGCTCTGCACTCCTATAAAATTCAAAGCAGTTGGCAAAAGTACCTAGGTCCCATTTTCAGAAATTATTTGGGCACGGATTTTTCAGAGCTGTTTACCCGCCTTAATCATTTCAAAGGCTGGATCATTAGCAACTTGGGTGTCTTTGACTTCCAGCAAGTTTTAGCTCTTCTGTGTATATAGAATCATAGAATTATTTAGGTTGGAAAAGACCCTTAAGATCACTGAGTCCAACCGTAAACCTAAAACTGCCAAGTCCACCACTAAACCATGTCCCTAAGCACACATCTACATGTCTTTTAAATACTTCCAGGGATGGCAACTCAACCACTTCTCTGGGCAGCCTGTTCCAGTGCTCGATAATCCTTTCAGTGAAGAAATTTTTCCTAATATTCAATATAAACCTCCCCTGGTGCAACTTGAGCCCGTTTCCTCTCGTCCTGTCACTTGTTACCTGTTTTGGAGGTGACACCAGACTCCTGAACTTTCATTGGTAGTTAAATTGCAGCAGAGCTAGTCATGTGTCTCTTAGGAGCGTTAAATAAAAAGCAAAAGTACAAAATTAAAGGGTAACTGATACTGCTTTCAGGGCAGGTCTCTGTCCTGAAAATGAATGGCTACAAGTCAATCTGCAGGTTTTTGTTTAGAGAGGTTTACATGAACTTGACCCGTTGACACCTGGTTAAGCTCTTTCTTCAATGTGTAGTTTTACAACAAGAAATTAAACCAAGTGAAAGAAAATGGGATAGGATTAGGTTCTAGTCTATTCTTTCTCCGCTTGGTTCATCACAATGACCACTCCTAGTGTTCATCTTGCAAGCGTTGATACACATAGCCTTCAGAGCTCCTAAAAATGATCAGCTGCATTTTAACATTTAAAATAAACTCTTTTCTTAATGTGCCTGCAGACCTTCCAAGTGCAGGCATCTGCAGGCATGGTCTGATCTGTAAATTTTGCTCCAGGCTGAATGATTATTGACCTGTGTGGATGTAAACAGTAGGAAATTGCTGGCTTGTTACCTTACTGCTTTGCATACTGCACTTTTCCTCATTGCATAACAGAGAAAAGTGCTGTAATTTCTTCTGTTTGTTTATTGGTTCCTCACAGTCAGTATATGGGGTTACAGAGGAGTCTCAGCCCCAAAGCCCAGCACACGTGCCCTCCCAACCTGTACGCAAAACTACAAAAGAGGATTTCCGGAAACAAGTAAGTAGATGGCTATATGGCAACTCTTCTGAGAACTGTTATCTGGGGGGGGGGGGGGGCATAAAGTTACTGAGATATCAGCAAAACCAATAGTACGCTTTACCTGTCCTTGATCCTCACATACTTTATGTAAAGTACTAAGTATTTAAAGATATGTATATATTTTCATTGAGCAGTGCAGTTGTATGATGATATGTATTATGGGTAATACTGACCTTTGAATCTACTATTATTCTGTCTGTGGACCAGTATACAGATTAATTTCTGGTTCACTGAGGGTGAAAGCAGGCAGGGGCGAAGGCTAGGGAAGAAGCCAGCATACTGGGGATGGGTGGGGAAGAAAGGCATCATTCGGTGCATGACTGTTAGACTGTACAGTCAGAGCTTTTAGGGAACTAGGAAAAAGTTATTTGCACAATCACTCCAAGGAATGGCCAGCCAACTTGCACATCCTTGCCTCGGCACAGGGAGCTCTCCCTTGAAATTACTTTCCTGCAACAAGCAGCACTCACTGAAGTACAGGCAGGAATCGCTAGGTCAGCATTTTAGTAAAGGCAGCTTTAAACATGTTTCTTAGGCAGCCAGTTTTAGGGTGGCCTTCTGAACTAAACCTGAACACTAAATTTCTTGAGCTTTTTCCATCATAGGCAACATAGGCTGCAGAGTACTGTGAAGAACTAGTTCATAGCAGAGTGCAAATATGCTGTAAAACTGTTATGGGTCTTGTGATGCCAGTCAGTTAGAGAAATGGAAGAGAGGAGTGTGGTGTAAAAAGGGGATCGCATTGCATCCTGCGTAGACTAGGAACCTCAGCCCCAAATATGTGCCTTTCCTACTTTTAATTATGTCTTCTGAAGCTTCCCCTGGGTCTCTGCCATAGGAAATGGAGACTCCTGTTGGAAGCAGTTAATAAGCTTCTTCTAATACCTAGGGAAGGGTCCCATTTCCTTCTGAGTTACTTTCAAGCTGTTTGGAAAGAGAAATCAATAGCGTGTTGGGATATGATCAATGCATGCTGTCGAGCTCCTGGATTGTTAATGTCCTTGTCATCTCTCTCCTCAGATAACTTTTCTGAACATGCAGATAGAGAGACATTGTTTAAAGATGTCCAAAGTAGCAGAAAGGTGGGTGTCCCCATTTGCATGATTTCCCATTCTTTCCTCATCTCCAGTTTGGTGTTTCCAGAAACAGAGCGGGCAGGAACGCATAAAGGCTGGTCCCCCTTCTGTGTGCATCAATTCTTCCCCCTCCTTGACCGGCCGTGCTGCCTGTCTGCTGACCACTGACACTTCTGCACTCGCTCTTCTGCCACTGTCAAAAAATAGGTGAAAAATGAGGATGCTGTCATACTGTAAAAGCAAAAGAAATATCATTCACAAAAGAAGGAACCCTTGCAGTGCTTTTGTTTCCCACCCCTTCACAACCCTAGACTTTATTTACAGAAAAGTCATTCCTGTTTCAATTTGAAAATACCCTTTTTTCTTTTGTGGGTGAACTCTCAGTGCTCACCTTTTGTTAGTCTGGCACAGCTCTGGGGAAGGAGCTGCGTTTGCATCTTGTTGCACGTGGTGTTCATGTCCATGTTCATACTGGGGTTGTAGGGCCAGCTTCTGCTCCCACTTATACATATGAAACCCTATGGGAAGTACTGGGGTTGTACCTGGGCTACTCAAGGCAGTGTTTTAAGAGGTGGATTTCTCACAGAGGCAAATCAAGGCACGATTTGACTTGCGGAATATTTAGCTCTGTTAGGAAACTATGAACAGGTAGAGAACAAGCTCAAATTTAATTGAGAATGACAGCTCCTTTACTTAGATACTTGTAAGTTATGCACATTTGCAGGGGAATCACTGAGACAAATGTGGGGATCGGCATGCTCTTCAGTATTGTGAGAACTTGGTGTTTCCAGAATCCTGAATTCCAGCAAAACTTTTTTGCTCTAAAAGTTTGCACTTTTAGAGCAAAACTCTGTTGAACATGAGGGACATGATAAAGGCTGGTGCCTTGTAGAGAAATAATAGAGGAATTTTTCTTTAAGCAAATTAAAAAGAGATTACCCTATGAAATGTGCTTTGCAGTGCCTGTACCTGTAATTACCATGTGTGTACTAAACTAGGCAAATTAAATGGTGAGAGCCCCAAACTAAGTTCCTATTGGCTCATAACGTTTAACAATTAAAATGAAAATTTATCCAATTAAATAGAAAATACTCAGAGGCTCCCTGAAATCCTGCATACGCTATATTGTATGATTGAAATTAGCACATTCATATTTATGTTTTGGTTCTTTTTTATTAAGAAGATACATTTGTGCTTTACCAAAAAATGTCATTTTGTACTGAATTTACTTACAATGACCTTAATATACTGAGACAGTAATAATTTCCAGGCTGGTAATTTACAAGCAAGCAGATCTGTTTTGCTTGAATTTTTTCTAGGTAGGTATTTATTCAATAAGATGGACTTAGTAAAACTCATTCACTTGTGAACATCAAATCCTGTCCACATAACACACCTGTTGTTCAAGTTCATAAGGAGCTACTGACATTATAAATGTAACATTGTCAATGCCAAAAAAACCCTGTTAGTTTTCAGTAAAACTGGACAGAAAATTTTTGTGGTTTGAAAGGGCTTTGGGATTTATTTTTTTTTTACTGGTCCCAAATTGGAGAAGAAAATGTTGTTATCAAAACCTGTGCAAATTGATAACCAGGAGAAAAGTAAATAAAATGAGAACAATCAAAAAGTTCTTTTCTCCTGTTTTGAAAGTTTCATTATGAAATATGAATGAATATTTTTCATATTGAATATATGAAATTCTAAAGAATGAAAATCATGGTTGTGATATTTATATCTTGTGAAGAAGTGTTTGGTGATGTGATGACTTTGGGTGGCAGTGTTGCTGGAGGGTCCCAGGGCTTGGTGCGGAGAGTGGTAGGAAGTGCAGCCTGGATGTGGAGGGTCACGGAGCAGGAGGGAGGGAAGCAGAGGGGCTGCTGAGTCCAGTGGCTTGGCAGGGGTGGAGATAGGTGAGGAGGAATGAGTGTGGATGACCTGAGGTGAACGATTGCCTGAAATAAAAACCTGTGCAGCCTGAAAGCCTGATGTAAAACGCTGAATACAAATGCCAGGAACAAATCTGCTGCATAAGGAGGTGCCGTTATTAGCAAGTCACTTTTCAGGCTGGGCCCCGCTGTCGGGACTAGTTTAAGTGACAGTGTGGCAGATCGGGGTGCAGGAGACGACTTCTTGGCCCACTCCTTTCGACAGCCAAGCCTGACAGCGACACCACGTGCCATTTTTTCAGTACAGCGCAAAGACACTCCAGGCAGGACGAGAGAAGTAAAAAGGAGCAATTAAGGCAGGGGGTGGTGGGAGAAACAAGCTGCTGTCTAATCTTTTATAGGAATAAGTTATAAATTAATAGTGATAGACCAATCACATACATTTTCTATGAATGCATGCTATTCTATGGGGCAGCTCTTGTCCAGCAGAAGGGGAATAGAAAGGCTCTCAAAAGGTTATCCCCAGCTCCCATGAAATAAATGCCCACTACTAAAGATTTTCTGCCCCCCTCCTCCCTGTTCCCCTTCCAGCAGTAGATCTGCACCAACTGTGGGAGCAGGCATCCCCCAGCTGCTCCAGGCATCTTGGAAACAGTTTTCGTCTCCTTTCTTCCACATCCTTTCTCCCTATCTGGGACCTGCACGCTGTCAGGTTTAGGATTTGGCAATGAGATTTGAGAACTGTTGAGAAAAACTATCAATATATTCTACCTACTGTTTCCCTGACTGCATTGTGCCGTGTTAGTGCAATCCCACTACATGTGGCATCACAGAAACGGCTGGGGAAAACCAGAGCATCTTCTTACCAGAAGCAATCTCGGCTCCCTAGATGAAGATCTGTGCTATCCTCTCAGCTCCTCAAAGTTACTGTGAAGGCTCAGCAGGGTGCCCTGATTGTGAGACGGTTGGGTTCTCGAGGCAAGCTCTGCGCCCTTCAGTGAACTCTTCCCACCACCTCTTCTACCAGGATTACAGTGCATCACCTGAAAGGCCAAAAGTCCAGGTTTGCATTTTGACAGAAATGCTTTCCCTTAAGAGTCCCCCGCCTGTAGCTTCTTTAGACAATGAGGCAACGATTCTGCTGCTGTCATTATACTGAATCAGCAAAATGTGCTTAGCAATTCCCCCTTGTTTCATTTAATTTAGTTTTTTCCCCTTTTATTCTTGCTAGTACTTGTACTAGCACATCTGATGCCTTTTTATTATTTTATTAGGAGCAATTCAAGTTTCACAGCAGATATCTCCTGATTGATCCTTTTTGCTGGGTTTCTTTTAACCAACCCTCTCTCTCTCATTGATGTCTCAGGAATTGCTGCTGCTCTCTGAAATTGGACGCTGCTCCCTCCTCCAACCCTTGACCCACAGCAGTCATGAAATGTAATTAATGAAATGAGATGAGACAGCCCTGAGTGCCCTGAGGGGCAATGGGAACCTGCTGTGGTTACAAAAGTGTATGATTTTAATGCCTCATGATAAGAGCTAGGACAAACAAAAAGAAGTAATTACTGTAGAGCAGGTCAGGGAAACTTTCTGCCTTTTGTGACCCTTTGTTTCACAGGGTCTTTTCATTTTCCTGCCTTTTTGAGATGTGGAAGACCAGAGGTAAAGTTTAGCATGGACAATCACAGTGCAGCTAGATTAGTTGTTCAGTATGATGAGACTCAATTAACTTAGTTAATTACTTGGCAGACCCAGGCAAAAAAATTAAAAAGTGCCTTAGAGTATTTCCGATATAGACTAGGACAAATTTATTTTGATTTATTTCATATATGCTGTCTTTCTTTTGTAAAAAAAGCACCCCTAGCCCCAACCCCAGTGGAATTCCTGAATCACTTACGCAAGCAGACGCAGTCCTTTTCCCAGGAAGCTCTTTGAATGTCATCCTAGTGAGGATTAGAGGCTATATGTCTTATCTGACTCGTCATGAAGCAAGCCAGTATAAAGGCCAGGTGTTTCTCCAACATGCATATAATTTACTACATTCTAAGTTAATTATTATAAACTACCGTTGAAGTATTTTACAATAGTGCCATTAGACTAAACGGTATACCAACATAACAAAAAAAGTTATCTATAGCCTGAAGCTTTGATGCTCAGGACTGTGATCCTCCAATGATTTAAGTATATTCTTAGCTATAGCACATGACCCTATTTAGATGAGTTACTCATAATGCATAAAGTTAAGTGGGTGCAAAAGTCTGCAAAAACAAAAAAGGCCAGAGGCGATAGCAACGTGCAATAAATGAAGAGGAGGACACACGCTTCGTAGTCATCCCATGGCTCTTCGGGGGAAGTCCTACCATAGCAATCCAGTTCTTGCCTTGTTGGGCTTTTTGTGAGCATCTTGACAGAGACGAGCTCGAGGAAAATACTGCAGTGAGCTGGTGGGTGTTTCCAGAGAAATCCTTGCGTACACCAACCCTGGGAAAAGGGACTTCTGTGGTTGCTGAGAAACTGACTGATCCCTACAAAAATAAAAAGCCCCCCCCCCCCCAAAAAAAAAAGCCAGAAGAAAAGAAAAGCTGTACCTCTCTGACATGCGACTGAGCATTCAGGCCCTGATTCTTTTTTTTCCTTTCTTCTTTTTTTTTCTTTTTTATATCTGTCAGTTTAATAGCCTACACAGAGCAGTATGTGGAATATGACCCCTTTATAACTCCTGCTGAGCCTTCCAATCCCTGGATAACTGATGATGCAGCATTGTGGGACATTGAAATGAGGTAAGAATTGGTAGTTTAAGTAATGTTAGAGTTGTCTTGCCATTTTGATTGTATACTCTTCCCACTGCCCTGTTCGGATAGGAAGTTGGATGTCTGTAACTTTACAAGATATAAGTACCTAGCTAAAGTTTAAACAGGAGCTTATGCTTTATCACTTCTTCTGTGAATTATTCAGCCCTTCCACTTCCGTATGACTTGATGTGTGGTACTCTGTAAGTCAGGTAACGGATGTTCTCATGCCTGTCAAGGACATGCACAGACTCAGGTCTAAGAGTCCACAGATATAGGATACTGCTAAGAGATACTTGTTCCAGCACATCTCCTTTGACCCTTGAGAGCCTGCTCTCTGGTCCTCCCCCAGCTGCAGTGCTCCAGCCCTGCTCCTGCCCTGGGATCCCATGAAAGATGCCACTGGCAGAATAGGATGGGTTATAGGGCAGTGGCTGTTCCCGCCGTGCAGAGGAGGATTTGGCACAGGAGCCAGAGGAGTGTAGCTCACACGTAACGTGTGAGACTTGGCAGGTCAGAATTATAATAGTTTGACAAAGTCAGTTTGGGCCTCACCTGTTAGTGAACAAGCTGGCTTGTCTCTGTTACGGTGTCTAATAGATGAAAAGGAGGAGGAATGACTGTAGGACTTCCAATGCTTTGCACCTCAGAGAGTTTCTCCAAAAAATCAAGCACAACACTGCAGTTTAGATCGTCTTTTGCCCATGTGATGCTGGTGCAAGGGAAGTCTGGCCAGTGTCTACATCTCTTGCCATCACAGGCTATCCACAGCCCTTGTAGTGGGACTAGAATTGTCCTGCCTGCCTCTATGCCTAGCATAGCAGCTATCGCAGCAGGTTCAAATGAAATCACCGTGCCACATATCACCTTCGCTACTCACTCACATCCTGTGGCCAAGTACTGCAAGTGCTCAGCAGCTTCTCCTAGTGTTTAGCTGCTGCTGTTTGGCACCAAGTCTGAACTGGGAGTTCACTTTAGCAAATCTTTGAAAGGAGAATGCCGAATCTAATCCTGTCTGTTCTTGAATAATGATGTAAAGTTTAAGATGCTACCAGCCTAAGAAAGCCAATTCATAGTGAATCAGTGTTGCAGGAAAAGGGCAAGTTTTTTCCCTGTTTAGAACCCATGTGGTCTGGGATGTGAAAGATGTTTTCACCTGCTTCTCTGGTAGTCACAGAAATCCATTAGTTCCCTAATCTCTGCCCCTATTCACGTAATTTCAATATTTTGGATTTCCTTTTTAGTCAGTTTCTCTCATTTTCTCCATCCTCCCTAGCAGGGCTAGAACCAGATACAGCCCCTGCAAAACACTTCTCTGGAGGAACCCCCACCCACAAGGTAATCCAGGCATCCATTATTTCTGCATCTGTTGAGGTAGCTGCAAGTCCCAGAAAAGATGTCTGTGTCCCTGAAGAATACAATTAACCTGATGTCACAGCCTTTGTAGGAATTTAAAATGAATGCTTGGTTTCTGCTATGATTTCAGAGTTAAGGAAGGTGATTCTCCTGCTGATGAAAAAGAGAAGGTTGTATTGTTGGGAAATGGAAGAACAAACAGCTCTGTATTTCCATTTTATTCTCTATTGTAAGAGAACTCACTGCATCTGCATCTAGTTGCAACTTGCATGAATAATTAAATGATCCCCGAGAGCTGCGGTAGCCCTTGTCTTGCCTGCCAAAGCTGTTTCCTCAGGAGAGCAGAGCCCTTGCTCAGGAAAACAAAGAGCCTCTCACTTCTAATGGTAAGGCCAGCTGCTGAGTATGGACAGCCCTGTGCCACTACGGTTCATCCTTCATGGCACTCAGGACTCAGGAAACGCCATGTTTCCTAAAGCCTTCAGTTTTAGACAGCGCTTTGGCCTTTTCGTTCGTGCTAGAATATTGTGCAGTGGCAAGAAGAGCAGCTACAGATCTC